AAATCCACTGGATGTTTGAATTGTACTGATTGATAATTTAGTCTTAGATGTATCATTTTTTTAATTTATCATTATTGGCTTTGAAATTGCTGTCAGTAACTGTGAGTACTCTCAGATATGTACTTGAGTGTTTTTTTGTTGTTTGGATGTACAAGTACCTAGCCACGTCCACTGTGTGTTTTTGTTAGATGTATTTCTTTGTGTATCCATTTGATGAGTTAAGCCTTTTCAACTGATCTTTATAGTTTGTTCTTTTGTTGTACTGTTACGCCACTGTTCTAGGTTAGGGGGAAGGTTTGGCGCCCGCTAACATGTTTAACCCGCCATATTCTGTATGTGCCTGTCCCAAATCAGGAGCCTGTAATTCAGTGGTTGTCTTTTGTTGCTGTGTTACATATCAGTTTTTCGTTCATAGTTTTGTACATAGTTTGGCCGTTATTTTCTTGTTTGATTGTTTTACATTTGTCATTTCGGGGCATTTTATGACTATGAGGTATGAGCTTTGATCCTTGTTAATGGCCGAACGGTGACCTATAGTTGTTAATTTCTGTGTCATTTTGGTCTTTTGTAAAGGGTCGTCTCTTAGGCAATCATACCTCATCTTCGTTTTCATCTTTCATTCAAATTTTTATTCGTACTCAAACTAAACCTCTTAAAAGCTGCTACAAGGGTTTTTTAACCCGCTGGGTGTGGTATTTGCTAACACTAATTTACAAGTTTTACCACCAACAAGCGATTGGAGATTGATAGTGAAATGAATCCGTCCACAGTCGAGCCGTCCGAGTAGAAGGGGTCTTAATCTGGAAGCCGAACATTATTTCTTTAAAACAGAATGTGGTCAATATTCGTTATTCCGATACAATTAACCAATGTGACTTCATCGTTGACAATTACTTTATAATAAACTGTTACTGTATATTTAACAATTCGATAGGAGAATTATAAATATATAAATGAATAATCAAAATAGCTTAAAAAATGTTTGAACATGATATCAATGTTTTGAAGTATTACGGGTTTTTTTAAGCGAATGCAAGCGTTGCATAAAACGCTTCTATGCGAGCAACGTCGTTCTATAACGTTACATAAGAAGATAGTGTTAGCTTCCGCAAACAAATGGATAATAAATAAAGGCAACAGTAGTATACCGTTGTTCAAAAGTCATAAATCGATTGAGAGAAAACAAATCCGGGTTACAAACTAAAACCGAGGGAAACACATCCACTATAAGAGGAAAACAACGAAACAACAGAACAATGAAGTGCAACAAAAAACAAACGACAATGCAACATACATAGAAACGAACTATTACATAACAACTGCCATATTCCTGACTTGGTACAGGACGTTTTAATAAGCTTGTTTACGTTTGTATCGGTGTGAAAACATCGGTGACCCCCCTTTTTATTTACGCTTTAAAATCATTCCTAATGCTGCTTTTTATCCAGAAGTTTGAAGGAAAAATATTAATAGATTTTTTTTTTTATTTCGAAAAAACTATGACAAATAGCTATTGAAAATGAAAAATTGCAATGAATTAATATTAGTAGTACCGTAAATTGGGAAATGTTGGCATCGGGATATTTTGGCGGTTTTCTCTCGAAAGGCATGTGTTTTATTTTGGTGTGTGTAATTTTGGTGCTTCGTCCAATTGATATGTTTAATTTTAGAACAACATTAGTGAGCAAGCTCATTCATATTTGCCTTTATTTACCCGTTTATTGACAAAATATCATTGAATTTCTCAAACTAGAAACACGACAAAGTTAACTTAATGAAGGAATCGGATACGGATGCAATTGCAAACAATACCGTATTTCGTTGTTCAAAGCTGAAAGAAAATATGAAATACAATCTTAAACATTAAAATCACTTTTTAAATAGATTATTTATTTTTTACATATATCATGTGAAATAAATTTTAATCATCTCTATTGCAGTACATGTTAATCTATGGACGATCAAGGATTTAAATTTTAATCCTTATGCCTCTGGCAGTACATGTTTATTAATTAAGATAAAGGATTACAAGGAACTTTGATATTCTAATTACCAATAACGGCGTCTAATCAGCAATAGCCTGGCATATTTATGACATGTGTGAATAAAAATTCATATTGTGTTTTCTTTCCAATTTCAGAAAATTGACAATTAAGTAAAAATTATATAGTGTTGTTGTCAAAGTATACTAGGTATCTATTTGCAGATTTGGCTATGTATAGAATTGTAGGAAATATACGGAAGATAAAATAACATAAAATATTTTCCCCAGCAATTAGCATTACACATTGTCGTACCGGTACGCGATTTTGGCGTTTCAATTTTAGTGTTTGCTTTATTTTCGTGTGTTTTTATATTTGGCACTTTCATTGGAGGCACAAAGTAAACCAAAATAAAACTACAACCAAAATAACCCAATTTACGGTATTAGTATTAACAACAGAAACCGCTACCAATATCAGGAATAAATCATGCACCTTATGTTGCTTCCATCTTGGCAGGTACAAAATCGGTGAACAGTCTCATTCGGTAATGTCATTGATGAGAAAACAAAGAATGGCCTTGTGATTACCACTATTTGGACATATCCATAGTCATTTGTGATACAGATATTCCATAACGGCCAACCAAATCATGATTGCGACCAAAAAACTATTCAGGTGATGTCTCCAAGTTACCCACTAGGAATCTTGATTCAATAGCTTCCTTGCTGGCAGCAACTCTATATGATCAATAATGATCTGTTTTGTTTGAATTTTTTCAAAGCTATAACAATTAACAGGTGAAATGCTCAGCACCTATTTTAAAAGTATGTCTAGCAAATTATGTCTTACATGCACCTAATAACTGGTTACCTATACCACAAAAAATAATGTGCCCACGGATTGAGGACGATCAAATTTAGTATTACATTTACATAAAATAAATTGGCATACAATACGGAAATTTTCTGTGATTGAAGAAGACAGGGTAAAACTGCTGTCATGCTTTATTGTGTTATATATATTTCCTTGTTCGTCTTCGACTCTGTACTTTTATCAGCTCGTTATTTTTTTTTCTGTTATAATTTTAGATTTTCATATATCTCACTCATGTCCTTTTTGATTGATGAGCTCTTCATCTTTGTAATAAGTTTTCGATTTTCAAATAATTTGGCCTCGAACATCAAAGAAGCCAGGTAATTTAATTTCACATTCAGATATATTGATGATGTTCTTTCCATTAACAATCCAAACTTATCTGATTGGGTTCCATAAATACATCACCAAGAACTAGAAATTATAAAAACAACAGACACTGATTCCTCCGCCTCATTTATGGACTTATACCTCGAATTTGACATACACGGTCATCTCAGTACCAGAATCTATGACAAACGAGACGATTTTAATTTAGAAATTATCAATTTCCCCCACCTTAGTAGCAATATACAAACTTCACCAGCATATAAGATATACATTTCCCAACTTATTCGGTATTCAAGAGCACGCAGCAAATACTCAGACTTCGTAAAACGTCACCAGTGTCTGAGCAGAAAGTTGACGAACCAGCGGTATGTCAAAGAACGTATCGTCCTTTTTCTAAAAAAGTTCATCGGAAGGTACCAAGACCTTATTGATAATTATTTCGTATCAACTTCACAAATAATACACGATGGTTTTGAAGTATAGATGCTTGATACTGACGTTGTTTATCATCTTAATAACGTGTTATAGTATTCTTTTATTTGTCTTTAATAATATTACTTTTACTGTTTATTCTGTTTTGGTGATATCTATTTGACGTGGCTCTGTACTTATACATCCCGTTATTGTGTTATTGTTCTATGATAATTTTTGTATTCTTGTCTTTCATTTTTGCTAATATGCTTTGTCTATATGCCTTTACGTGTTTCTTTGTTACAATAACGTGGCTCTGTACTTATACATCCCGTCATTGTTATATGATAATTTTTGTATACTTATATTTCATTTTTGCTAATATGCTTTGTCTATATGCCTTTTTGTGTTTCTTTGTTACATATGACGTGTCCCTGTACTTATATATCCCGTCATTGTGTTATTGTGCCATGTTAAATGCTTGTTTATATATTTGTTTGTATTAATAGTGATTAAGATAATAACACAATGTTGACTGCTTTACCACTATTTTTGACATGTAAACCTATTATGTCTGTCTGTTTTGTTCACACATCGTTTTCAATATAATGGATTTTTATGCGACTGTCATACAAGTGAGAGGTTTAGCTAGCTATTAAACCAGGTTTAATCCACCATTTCAATACATAAGAAAATGCCTGTACCAAGTCAGGAATATGACAGTTGTTATCCATTCGTTTGATGTGTTTGAGCTTTTGATTTTGCCATTTGATTAGGGACTTTCCGTTTTAAATTTTCCTCAGAGTTCAGTATTTTTGTGATTTTACTTTTTTCCTTTCAGAGACATTTCTTGTTGACATGTGGATCAGACATGGGGTAGTTGAAATATGTAATTGTAGTTGATCGTAATTATATACAATTTCTCAAGTAATTGAATGTAATGTGTAATTGAGCATTTTTTCAATCACATGTAATTGAAAGTAATGAATAACATAGCCACAAGTGTCTGTAATTTACAATTACTTTTCAATTACAACTCAATTACATTTAAATTTTGGGTCAGAAAGATTGAATCTTGTGTTTTCTGAAAAAATTGTTAAAAGCACATGTCCTTAGTAAATGTTAGCTGACAAAGCAAAGCCTACACAGTATACTCTCTGTAGTTTCACAACCATGGTAGATTCTTTATTTTGTATTGAATGAACAAAAAAAAAAGGAATAAGAAGATTATAAAGATTGTAGAAACATACCATAATTTGTATTTAAAGGAACCATTAATAAGTCACTGTCTTATACATTATATAGCTTGTTACCTACATGTAAATTCAGACAAATATCATGATCATTAGACATTGATTTATCAAAATCAACTTTAAAGGACAAATTCAATCAACAAATATAACCTCTTGTTATTTGTTTTATTTTAAACTATATAATGACTGTTTTTACAACAGTTAAATTTTCTTGTTCAACAGGTGTTAATTCAGCTAATTAGAGAGAGATAATAAATTATACCTCTAGGTACATGAATGTTTTTAAATCAAGTAATTTTGATAAAACTAAAATATATTTTTCAAAAAAGTCTGGCTTTCTTAATCATTTGTTTAGGAAAATAAATAGTTAGGAAAACAAAAATCATTTCAAAAATATTAAAATTAAGGCTCTCATTTGTATCATTTTCAATGAAATACAATAAAATATAGGATTTCAATAGGTTATTACAACAAAATTTTATATTTCCAAAAATATTGAATAAGTTTTTTTCCTATTATGAATCTGGTGCAATAAAACCGGTACCATTGACTATTGAACAGTAGTATACTACTTTTGCCTTTAATATTATTGCTTAAATATTTCTTTAAAAAATTATATGGAGAAAAAAAGCATGTTAACCAAATGTCTGTTAACATCCGATAAAACTGAACAGCCTTGATGCTGCACTAGTTTCATTATACTTATCAAGCCTAGCAGCACATTCGAAAGCTCTTCTAGCAGGGTATGACTCACCCAAAGTCAGGTGAGCTATTCCACACATAATAACTGAATTTATGGAATCAGGACGTGAAACGAAAGTACGACAATCTGATATAATCCATTCAACATAAACTAGCTGTTGTAAAGACTGTTGGTATGATGTAATGTCATGTCGATGGTAGTGACATAGAAAGCTGAGGAAATGTGCATATGGCAACGGATGAAATATAGTACCCCTCCTTTGCACATCTTGTTGTAATTCTTGTGGAACTATTGATGAATTATGCTCAAGTCGAAAAGAATAAATTGTTAATGATTTTAATATTGTATGAAGTTTTTCCCTTTTCACCAGTCTCATTACATGTTGTTTGATAGGATCAAGTTTGCTATTATTGAATAATCCAAGATAAATGTTCTCTGCCATGCATTTCTTCAATGTATATGCTATTACAGTTAATGAAGATAAGTATTTTTTATGAACATAGAAGAAAGAAGCTAACATCAGCAATCCTGATACTGTATCTGAATGTAAACCGATCATTAAATGACTAAGATCATGTTTGTACCTTACGTAATGGCATTTGTTTCCTGAGATTTTTGGATATTGTGATGCTTCCGGAACTAGCATAAATGAAGCTGAAAGTTGTAAAGCAAATAGACCACTTGATAAATTAGTTTTGGAGTGATGTGAAAAATCATAGAACAGTTTCCAAAATCTATTAACTCTATTATCATAACACACATTACGAAGAAAACAAAATGTTGGCATCAATTGTTGTAAATATATGTTGTTATCGCTATTCAACGACATTTTGATTTCGTAGGACTGGTATTGTTGATCTTGTAGGGTATCAGTAGATGCAAAGCAATTGATTCCTTCTCCATACAAATTCATGAGTATGGTGGTTAATTTGTACTTGTTATGCGTATTGAACCGTAAAAAGAACAAGTTATTTCCAGGAATAAAATAATGTGACAATATTGAATATCGTACACAGTAGAGCAGTCTTTTCAGACATGCCATAAAACATGGTATCAAATTATCTGGTCTCCATGCATATGGATCTGTTTCTTCTGAAATCCAAAACATCAGTGTTTTTAAGAAATATGAACACAATAGACCTTTCAAATCCTCATGTTTATCTACTATTTCCTTCAGCAAGATTTTTAACATAGCATAACATAATAATTGTGTATGGCTGAAGGAAAATATCAGAATTTTTTCCGCTACAGAAAATGAAATTCGCCATTCAATGTTTTCATTTATTGATCCCTTGTAGCCAATTGGAACAAAAAGCACACCACAAGATATTATTTTAGAAATTAATTCAGGTGAAGGCCATGCTGTACGCGGTCTACTCACCCATGGCTGGGCTTGAAAAATCCATGTGTCGCATTTAAGACAAAATGCACAATCATAATTATCATCTCCATCTGTTACACACGGACCATGAATTTTTGAATTATGTGATGCTTCAAATTTTGACATTTTAAATAACTTATATTGTTCACTTGAAAGCACAGATCCCAGCTGATTTTTTTGTAGCATATTTAGAAGTAACTCGGAAACCTTTAGTGTATAATTCTGGTGATGAGTTAGAAGATATAATTGTGTAAAACATGGTTGTGTGTCGTCAGTATTCATAATAAATGCTGCCACTTTTTTTTCAATAACAACGTCTGTTTCTGATTCATACACCTTCATGCTCTTTTCTACAATCATAACATCTATGTCACTGCCTTTTAGGTTGAGTCCTTCTCCTTTCCTCCCACTACTTATAAACGTATCACTTTGTGCAATGTCATAAATAAGGAAAGTCAACCTCCTAATTTTCACGACCTCTTCAGATCCAATCTTCTTGCAAAGATAATTGTAAAAATTCACCGAATCACTTGTTTCTATGGACCTGTCAGTCATTATCAGCATTCCAATCTACAAAACAAACTATTAGTCTTATATAAATGATCACCAAAATTTTAATATTTAGTCTGTTTCATATTTGGTTTATGTTTTAAATTTGAAACAAGATCGGGCTTTTCTTTCGACTTGCTGTAGAAAAAACATTCTGCTGCTTTTTTTTTTTTTTTTTTTTTTTAATTAAAACTGTTTAAATTAGGTGCGTCGGCGTGGAAAATTTCCTACTATATATGCAACTTAAAACATGCGAAATACAAGATAGATCTGTTTAGTTATGGTTGATTGATTGATTGTTGCTTGTACGCATATCCAAAACAAGTTGACAGACTACGATTACTGGCCTGAAATATATACTACCTAAAGAAAATTTAGATAAATATTTAAAAAATGTAAACCAAACTTTTCAAATTCTGCATCAATAAATTTTAATTCCATATTCGTTTTTATTTTATTTTGTAAACTTCATTTGACGTAAAATTAAATTATCTATTTGTATTGACAAATAGTATATCCACTCACTTAACCATTGATTAATTTCTTTGCAGAGAAACATATAAATACATTTACAAATTAGAAATCAAACGGGATAATTGATATGTAAATAACGTTTAATAAAATCACCAAAGAATATATTTATATTAATTTAAGAATCGGAAATGCTGTGTATAATATTGTTTACTAAAAACAGATGAATTTATTATCACATAATAAGATCAGGCATGGTACATATCAATGTGGATGATTAATAGTGGGTTTAAAATACAATACCTGACAAAACATCGTTCAGTCATTCAAATCAATAATATGTATAGATTATTACATGGCATTTTCATATCAGACCCTTTATCGGCCCTAGGTAATGATATCAGCCCAAGAGCCGTAGGCTCGAGGGTTAATATCATGAACGAGGGCTGATAAAGGGTCTGATATGAAAAATGACATGAAATGATCTATTTATCATATACTTCAGCAGAAGAAATACAAACAAGAACTATTAAGATTTTTTCTTTTTTTGAACTTTAAGATGATAATTTTCAGACAGCCAAATACAAATTTCTTAATTTTAATTGATTTTATTGATAATACAAGCATTTTATTTATCTTGTGACATATCACAACAATTATCATGTTCTTAGTTTGAAAAGTTTATTGTCACCTTTCCTGTGATGGTTGCCCCCGAAAACATACACATAGTTATGCCTGAAGTTGTTGGGGCTGGAACCTGTCTAGAGCCTGGACTCAAATTTTGATATGTCTTTCAAAACATGTGTAATCCTAATTTATTGTTGGTTCTCAACCATTTTGTGAAAAGTATTAAATCACTAGCGGTTTTCCGCACTGTGTTGTTGCTTTTCAAAGACTCGACAAACGCAGCCGTGTTGTCTGTCATGTTTACAAACAAATTTCCGGAAATTCACGAAGGTGCAAGCAATAAACGTCACGGACATTAACGGAAAGGCATGTGATAACATTCCGGAAACAGTCAATAAAAGTTCGTTTATCAGCCCACCGAGGAAACTCGTAGGAATCTGCTTAATAAACATAGTAATCCTATCATAGCCTTTTAATATTTCTAAATGTTATTGAACTGTAAAATTTAAGTAATATTTTATATACAGGAGTGTGCTCCTAACGCAGAAATTGCTCCAACAAAGTTATTAGGAGGACAGATTAAAAATGACACTCCGTAAATTTTACGGACACCATAACGAACTGGTCAATCTATACGATGTGTCTTTGTCCAAACTAACTAAGGAAATTTTTACCACGTGTTAGATTGTGGTTTGACATTACATCGTCTGATCTTTTAATTACCGAACGTGACTTATTCCCGATTGTGACTGTTTTGCTGAGTGTGAATTCGCATTGCTATAAGACGTGTCACGGTACTTTTCATTCCAAAATTCATGTATTTAGTTTTGATGTTATATTTGTTATTCTCATCGGATTTTGACAAATGTCTTATCGTTTGTAGTTGTAAATCTTATATTTTTTCTGTTGTATTCGTGTGTTATGGTAAAGATAATTAATCACCCAGTTCATTAATTAGATTTTAGTTTGGGTCAACTGAATTTATACGATATATTTGGTTTACAGTTTGATTTAGAAGAAACACCGACATAGCTAGATAATACTATTAATTATCTAATTACTACCACATTTTATATTAATTAGTATTGTAATTTTCATTGTTATTAATAAATGTTATATGAGTATTTTAAACCAAATCTTGAATTCTATCCTAATTCTATCCTATTTTGGGGAAATTTCAGAAATTCAAATGTGACGTCACCTTTTTTTTTGCGTTGATCTCTTTGGCTTACTCGGCTGTGAATTTTTATGTGCTGGTTTATGTTGTTTTATGTATCCGTTTTTATTCTATAGTTAGTCACCACTTCGGTGTTATCATGTATATCTATTATATAGTCATTTGTATAAATTTACTGTTTGCAAAAGTATGAATTATTCTAAATACTAAGGATTTTCTTATCCCAAACATATAACCTTAGCCGTATTTGGCAGAACTTTTTGGAACTTTTGGTCCTCAATGCTCTTCAACTTTGTACTTGTTTTGGCTTTCGAACTTTTTTGATCTGAGCGTCACTGGTTAGTCTTGTGTGGATGAAACGCGCGTCTTAAATTTTAAACCTGGTACCTTTTGTTAGCTATTATTCGTATGTTTCTCTGTCCTATATGTTCTCCCATTTATTTGTATTGTAGTCCTGTCATGTAATGTTGTCATTATAATGTTATATTTAACATTGCCATAAAAGCGGGAGGTCTGGCTAGCCACAAAACCAGGTTCAACCCACCATTTTTTTCTTAAAATGTCCTGTACCAAGTCAGGAAAATGGCCACTGTTATATTATAGTTCATTTCTGTGTGTGTTACATTTTAATGTGGTGTTTCTGTTGTGACGTAGTTCTCCTCTTATATATGTTTCCCTCAGTTTTAGTTTGTAACCCGGATTTGTTTTTTTCTCAATCGATTTATGAATTTCGAACAGCGGTATACTACTGTTGCCTTTATTTATACAAGTAAATGATAAACTAATATATTACTAACATTCAAAACTTTATCTTTGTTGACTACTTACATGAACTTTTTCACGTTTGTTAAGCTTTTCCCTAGGAATTGTTTACATCTATTTCAAAATGGTAACTTCATGTTATATTGTGTTTGATACACACCTGTGATCACAACACATTGTTAGGTTAAAAAACATGATTTTAACACCGACAATTAACGCTTACAATAACTTGACGACGATCAAAACACAAACAGAACTATTGTACTGGTAGCAACAATGAATAGGCATTTAATAAGGTACATGTAAACATACTATTATAATAGTGTTATATTTCTCACTTAGTTTATTGATTTGTGTAACTCTTTTGTTCAAATTAAAGTTTTTAATAGTAGGTAACTGATGATTGAAAAATGAGTATAGCAGATAACACGTAATAACGTAATCACTGCTTTAAAATTTTGTTGTGTATTCAACTTTGTACTTGTTTGGCTTTATAACTATTTTGATCTGAGCGTCACTGATGAGTCGTATGTAGACGAAACGCGCGTCTGACGTATTAAATTATAATTCTGGTACCTTTGATAACTATTTAATTAACTGTAATTAGTTTTGTTACAGTATGATTTTTATTAATTGTTAACCTTCACATATTTTAGATCGTGTAGTATTTTTACACTATTATTCTTCGTGCTCAATTGAAATAAATGCAAGCCAGCTTCTCATTTAGCAGTGATTTTCATGTCCCAGGAGACGATTGTATCACCCTGCATCTCCATATGTTTATAATGTCTACAAAAAATTTAAATCATCCCAATTGATAGATTTCTATGTATAACGCCACACAAAGTCAAACTATGTACAAAACAACGTTGTTCTAACAACAGATATGCCGAACTAATTGCAAGATATATATTTTCGACACAATTTATTTGGAACATAGAGGAAATTGCATGTACCAAGTCAGGAATAATACTTGTTTTTATTCGTTCCATTTGTATATATAGTAGACCGTTTGAATTTTTTCAGGTTTTATGACTTCGCAAATTTGGAATTTACATTGGAGCTCGATGTTTCTGTTAATACTTTTTGATTTATGATCAAATAGTCTTTATTCCTAGTAGTATTTTAACAATGACAGAAAAGATAAAAAAAATCTTAACAGGTTTGACTGATTCGATCCCATTCATTCCAGTGAAATTGACAATTGTTTACAAAGTAGGAGGATGTTGCGTCTCCGATGGTATCAACAGCTTAATAGTTAGCTCTTTTTCTGCTAACATGAAACTTCATTGAAATGAACACTTTCTTTACGTTTAAACGATAAAATCATTCCCATTATGCTGTTTGGCCCATTTACTCGAACAATAACGGGCTGTAGTATCCCTTTATATAGGTACTAACTTCCACGAAAAGATCTTTAGTTAACACTTATTAGATACTTGTTACATTGACCATTCTTTTCGTATACACAAATACTTGAATTTACTAATTATATGTTTGCGGACGATCTTTATACATCCCAATTTGGACTTATTTCCTTAGATCGATTTTGATCAATGACGCTCAGATCAAAATAGTTAGAAAGCCAAACAAGTAAAAAGTTGAAGAGCATAAAAGTGTCAAAGGCTGTAGCAGAGAGAAATATTTTTTTCCAACCTGTGCACGAATATTGTGAGAACCATTTAATTGACATAGTTTGGAAGATGAGTTACACTTCTGCCTCAAATGTACTGATTATTAGAGTAATAATGTTTTGTTTCTGATATACTACTAATTTCTTTTTAGTTTACCAGTCCAAAGGGCCAGTTTGGGCTTTTGCCGTCAATTATCTTTTACAAGAATGATCTCCCCTTGAACTACAGAACCGAATGAACCAAACTAGGCCACAATAATCCTTGGTGTATCTTATTGAATAATATGTCAAATGATCACGCCAGCGAACCAGTATGGTCATCAATGCTATAAAAAAAAACACAAAGGGGTAAAATGCAAGTATCGTCTATTATTTTGAAGTAAATTCAAATAATGCAAAAATCATCAGAATGTTTAATAAAATTGAGATTGGAAATTGGGAATATGTCAAAGAGACAACAACCCGACCAATGAACAAACAACAGCCGAAGGCCACCAATGGGTCTTCAATGTAGCGAGAAAATCCCGCACCCGGAGGTGGTCCTCAGCTGGCCCCTAAATAAAATTGTGTGCTAGTTCAGGGAAAATGGACGTCACACTAAACTCCAAAACATATAAATGAACTAAAATTTAAAAAAAACATACAAGACTAACAAAGGTCAAAGGCTCCTGACTTGGGACAGGCACAAAAATGCGGCGGGGTTAAACTAAGCAAAATAGCAATGATACATAAATGAACAAAGGACTACTAGCAGTTACTGACATGCCAGCTCCAAACCTCAATTAAACTGATTGAAAGATTATGTCTTAATTATATGAAAATCAAGTACAATCCCTCCCATTAGGGGTTTAGTATCATACCATCACAAAATATATAAGAAGAACATAACCCATAACTTACCAACAATTGGTTTTAAAATAAATGTGTTTATTTCCGATGCAAAGACCCTATGAGTGAATCAATATTAATACCAAAATATGCAATCCTTAATGACTTGACAACAGTATCGTACCTATATCCTTTTCGAATAAGTCTGTTTAAAGGTTTGGTTAGCTTTTGAAGTGAATGCCGACATTTTTGTGCTTTGTAAAGAATATTACCATAAAATATTGGATGTGAAATACCTGAACGTATAAGATGTCTGCATGTTGATTTATATTTACGAATGATGTCCTTGTACCGATGATAAAATTTAGTAAATGTTTTAACTAGTTTGTGAAAACGAAAACCCTGGTGTAATAATTTTTCAGTAATACAGAGATTTCTTTCGTTGAAGTCAAATACGTTGTTACATACACGAGCGAATCGAACAAGTTGAGATATATAAACACCATAAGATGGCGACAAGGGAACGTCACCATCTAAAAATGGATAATTAACAATAAGTAATGAAAAATCATCTCTTTTATCATAAATTTTGGTATTAAGTTTCCCGTTAAAGATAAAGATATCAAGATCCAGGAAAGGGCAGTGTTCATTGTTAGTATTAGCTTTATTTAAATCAGTTCGGCAGGATAAATCTCTTTAGTGTACATATTGAAGTCGTCATTATTGAGAGCCAATATATCATCTAAATATCTAAAAGTGTTATTAAATTTTTGAATCAGATGTTGTTTCGATGGGTCTTTGCTGATTTTAGTCATAAATTGTAACTCATAACAGTACAGAAACAGGTCCGCAATAAGTGGTGCACAGTTAGTCCCCATGGGAATTCCGATAACCTGACGATATACGGAATCTCCATACCGTCCATGTTATCTAGTAAAAATTCAAGGGCAGTTATAGTATCAAAGCAGGTCCAATTGATATAGTTCTTTTGTTTGTTGTTACTAAAAAATGACCTAAAAGAGTTTGAACATATATATTCGCATTCCGACGTTTTAAATGCCCATTTAATCAGGTGTGTGATTTGTTTCTTAAAAAGATTATGATGCAACGTGGTATATAGGGTAGAAAAATCAAAACTTTGAACAGATTCGAAATCACCAATATAAGCATGTAATTTATCAAGTACTTCCAACGAATTTTTGACACTCCAAAAGTAATTAATTCCATTATTTCAAAGGCCTTATTTGAACAATTTATTACCAGGTTTTTGATTGTACCAAGTGTACTTGTAAGTAGAATAGATAGTTTAATAGTGGAACAATGGCTTGAAGACGAAATAAATATATATTTGGAAGGAGTTTTATGCAGCTTCGGAAGCCAGTACATAGTTGTAACTTTCATTGTATTTGGTTCTGCTTGTAAAGAGGTAGCTAAAAGTTTATGTTTGTTACAGATGTCATTTTCCGAAAATGGAGTCCGTTGGAATGGTGGTGAATTCGTGATTTCCTTTTGTAGAACATCAATAATGATATTGTTAGTAGCCTTATCAGCCGGGACAAAAATATATTCCATGGCGAGTTCTTTTAGTTTATGCTTGATACGGGAAATTGGGCTATAATGGTTGTTGTTAGGAGTAAAATGATCTCTAAAATGTTGAATACGTATGTCAACTATGTTCATTACCGAATTAAAAAAAAATCTAACGATTTCTTGTCAGCTTTTTCTCGTTTTATCCATTTAGAGCAGTAAGTACGGAGTGAGTCGTTGATGATGTTTCTCTGTCCTATATGTTCTCCAATTTATTTGTATTGTAATCCTGTCATGTAATGTTGTCATTTTAATCTTATATTTAACATTGCCATAAAAGCGGGAGGTTTGGCTAGCCACAAAACCAGGTTCAACCCACCATTTTTTTCTTAAAATGTCCTGTACCAAGTCAGGAATATGGCCATTGTTATATTATAGTTCGTTTCTGTGTGTGTTATATTTTAATGTTGTGTATCTGTTGTGTCGTAGTTCCCCTCTTATATTTGATGTGTTTCCCTCAGTTTTAGTTTGTAACCCGGATTTGTTTTTTTCTCAATCGATTTATGAATAGCGAACAGCGGTATACTACTGTTGCCTTTATTTACGACACTCATTCCAATAAATAATTGACGGAGGACGATATTTAGGTCCTTTACTGAGGAATGATTTCAACTCTCGGTCACGAACGATGTTAAAGTCTCCTGTTATAACATGGGAATTGGGGCCATTAATGTATTCGGATTTACTGCAATTTCATGAGGTAGGTGTATTGTCACTGATATTAACATCTTTACACACTTCGCTGTAATCAAACACATATTTCCGGGTAGATTTTTTGTAAACATAACAAATAAGAGGGAGTTCAGTATTATCAAAATAGCCAGGAATTTGTTCTTTAACAGAATGATCATTTAAAAGTTAAATCTACATATTGTTTATTTTCACAAAATTGTCAGACAACTCCTTATAGGACTTGTTGCCCCGTGAATGACGATATTTTCTAATTTTCCAAAACCTACAAAATAGAGAATACTTGTTGAAAGCAAAACATCTGGAAAAAATGATAAAACAGCAGAAATTACAAGTATACTTCCTTTAGAATCCATTGCCTTTTGATGATGGTGTTCACAACTTTCCATTTGAGGATGAAAACTGTCTTAGATACAGAAAGACAAAGACAATGTCAACATACTCGAAATTGCAAGTGA